AGGTATTGCTCTACAGGGTGGGCTGCTGGGGGCTGAAGGATTCATCCCTTGGGAAATGCAGGTGGACAGCTTTCTGTCCTATTTTTCTTCTATCTGAACTTGAGTATGTCGTGATGTGTCTCTGTGATTGGCAGGTGTATAGGCACCGTTCAACACCTGAAGAGTAAATTCGGCAGAGGGTACTTCTTGGAAATGAAATTGAAGGACACAGCAGATGTACAGCAGGTGGAGTACCTGCAGAGGCAGATCCTGCACATCTTCCCAAATGCAAACCGACAGGAAAGGTAATGCTGAACAGATAGGCAAAGCACTCACATTCGTGCAAGCCTTTGATTTCACAACAGCTCCTTGCTATCGTGTAAGGAACGCCGTAGTACAAGTGTTTGCAAAAAAATACTCACACTTAGCTTTAAAAACAAAGCAAGCATTTTGCAAGTCAGGAAAGCCGCAGTGCTGCGCTGCTGGCTGGTGCTGGCACAGCAGATGCACACCCACATTTCTGCATAACTTGACAGCTTCCTTCTCTGGAAATGGTAAATTCTGAGTCCCTGCCCTTAGCTGGAAGCTCATGGTGGGAGGGTGGAACACCCATGTTCTCCTGTGTGGTGGTGGCCCAACAAAAGGTGTGTGGAGTAGCCTTCAGAAAATGAATTTAAATCCATTCCCTTGGATATTCGTATTTTTGCTTTGTTTCACCTGAAGCTGATTTTGCTTTGTTTCTTTCAGCTTTGCTTCTATCTTGGCATATAAAATCCCTAGAGAAGACGTACAGTCACTTTCACATTGTTTTTCCAAGTTGGAAGAAGGTAACTGAGCACTCACCACATCGTGCCTGAATACCTTTTTGTCTCCCACAGCTGTTCATGTGTCTTCATTCACTGTGGGAAAAGCACTTACACATTTCCATTTAAAATCCATTGAATGTATTTTTTCTTTCTCTGCTATTGACGTTCCCATCTCTGTTTCTTGTGAAGCCAGAAGTAAGCGTGTAAAGCTTTAAAACACTTTAGATCCAATTTCCTCAGATAGCAAAGTGTTCCTAAGTGTGTTTTCTCACACTCTTTTAACAGTGAAATACGCCTTTAACATCGAGGAGTACAGCTTTTCTCAGGCAACTCTGGAGCAGGTATGTTGGAGATGCTGTTCCATGGATGTGACCATGCTGTGCTGTGGCCCTGCTGGTTTTCTAGTTGTTTTTTTTTCTGGGGCTGGAAAAAAACACCAAATATTAAAGTTTCCCACTTGAATCTGCAGCAGTTCTGTATTTGTACAGACTGTCTTGTGGCTGAGTTTGTTCAGGCATAGAATCATGGAATCATATGGGTTGGCAGTTGGACTTTATCATCTAAGCGGTCTTTTCCAACATGAATGATTTTATGATTCTTTGATCCTGTGATAGAATGGGAGGTAACGGCCTTAAGTTGCACCAGGGGGAGGTTCAGGTTGGATATTAGGAACAATTTCTTCTCCAAAAGAGTGGTGATGCAGTTGCACAGCTGCGCAGGGAGCGGGGGAATCGCCGTCCCTGGAGATGCATCTGAACCGTGGGGATGCACTGAGGGACGTGGTCAGTGGGGTGGGCTTGGGGGATCTTGGAGGTCTTTTCCAACCTTAATGATTCTGTAATTCCACGATTCTAATTCGAGGTCTTTGTGGAGCTGGCCAAGGAGCAGGAGGAGGAGGAGGGCAGCTTTGGCACACTGAACAGCACACTGTGGTGGGACCGGACACAGGAGGACAGGGTGGTGTTCTGAACAGTGATCCCAACACCGCTGTGCTGGGGCAGCTGCGTGGGAACTTCAGTGCTGGGACAGAGCAGGAAGAGAATGGCGTTCAGGAACACTGGTCGTTGATACCTGAGTTGTGCTGCAACTGCAGAGCAGGCGGTGAGGATCCCTCTGTATCCTGGCTGCTGGGAAATCCCTGCTCTGCCGGTTGGTTCCCAGCTTGCACGGAGGGAGGAGATGCTGCTGGGATGGCCGCTGGTCCCCTGGGGCTGGTGATTTAGCACGGCAGGTCAGGATGGCCTTGTGGAATCCTGCGTCAGGGCAGCGCCATCCCCAGAACATCCTTTCCTGCTGCACCATGCTCCTGCTGTTGATCCAGCCCTGCCCCTGCTTGGAAGGCACAAATGCCTGGAAGAAGAGAGCATAAATCACTCCACTGTAGTCATATTCACTGCAAACGGGTTCTTGAAGTGCACTGCAGGCTCAGCTTACTGTCCAACCAACCTGGAGCTGCTTGTTTTCAGATAGGACACAGCAATCATCAACTCTTGTGTTCTTTCCTACTGCAAACTGGCAGATGTAATGGCTGCGTGCTGCCAGTCCTGGCAACACCAGTGTGTGTAATGCATGCGTGCAGGGCTCAATAAGTCTGCAGAAGTGGATCCTTTTTCCCCCAGCTTGGTATAAGTACAAAGGCATAGCTGTGTAGTGACGGGATTTGCAGAAATGCATCTCTTATCTTTGTTCAAAGCAGTCTAATTCCTTTTTTTTTGGGGTGTGATGACATGTATCCTGCCAGCTGTTCCTGGAGATATGTTCCTTCTTGGCAGTAGATAAGCAGATGCAGCACTGTTCCCTCATCTGTGTTTGTTGTGGTCACAGTGGGTAACACAGCAGTGTGCTCAGCATGCTGTGCTTCCTCCTGGTGCAGCAGCTTTGCAGTCACCCTAATAAACCCAAAAAATAAGATCCCAATTCACGTCTTCACAAGTAAGAATAGTGCCTTTATTTTGCATCAAAGCACTACAAATAGAATTACATTATCCTTTATCCTAAGATGCAACAAATATATGTTTAAAATATATTATTTTCTACACAAAGCTGTCATCACTTTTTTAGTTTTGTAAGTGAAATTGAAGATTAGCAGTTCAGTGTGTTCCGCAATGAGCAAACGTAGTGATGTGTTTTTATCAAAGCATTGCCTTCATAACTCATATCACTTGTGTATCTTCACTTTAAAGTTAGAAAACACCTTTTGTTTGTCTTGAGAATATTCAGAAATGTAGGGATTCAGGCAGATAGTTGCAATCCCATCTACCACAGTGGTTTATCGTCACATAGAGATCTCAGATCTGTTTTCCTCTGCCCCAATGGAAACGTTTCTAACCAACGTGGGGAGATGTGAACTCTGTGTGCAACTTTTGCTTCCTCCTTCGTAGCCATAGACTGCAAATAAAAGTGTAGAGTTTGCCTTGTGGTTGGGTCCCTGAAAGTGTTCCCACAGCTGCAGTGCAGATGGGTTCACATTTGTGTCTCACAGCCCTTTGCCGTCCGCGTATGTCCAAGATAAGTGTCCCCAAACCCACATTTCCACCATCCCTTTGTACATGGTGTTTGCCAAGTGTCCTTCACACATCTGTCCTGCAGCCTAGCACACACTTCTTTCATGTAACAAAGGTGCAGTTCTGAGCTGTTAGCCTTGATGGCTTTGTTCCTTCTATTCTGTTTCAGTTATAGAGTTAATAGACTGTAAAATAGTTCGATACAATAATACTTCTGTCTGGGTAACATCACCTTATTTTGAATAATTCCATGTTGTCTGACCTCTAAAGTAGACCCTACACACAAACTTTGTTAGCATCTAGGTTTCCTCAGCTTGGTGCTCCTCATCTTTACCTTGGTGTAACCTTGGTGGTGGTGGCACCGTGTTTGTGCAGCTCCACCTGCAAGGAATTAGGCTCATTGAGTTAGCATTGGGGTTTCTTCGTGGTAGTGTTTTGTTGGTGCAGCTCCATGTGTTGGAATCGGGCTCATTGAGTTACCCACGTGTTTGGATAGGATCTTCTGTGTGGTGGTGTTGTGTTTCAAGGTGGCATATATTGTCATCCCCAAACATCTCTGGAATCGTGGTGTACTGTTGTCAGAAGTCTTCCAACGTGTCATATGGTGTCTGTAATTGCCAGAACAAGGAAAAATATGCAAAACTAAACCATAGAAGTAGAATTACACTGTAGGCTAGAACTTTACTCCTGCATATGCGAGTCCTTTTGTTGAGCTGTTACCAGTGACATTCCAAATTCCAGCCCTTGTGTCCCTGCCCAGTTGGTGCTATGGGAGGTGGAACAGCTGGGAGGTGACACAGGGCAGGATTCGGGCCGTGGGTCTTTAGGCAAATCAGTGGTGCCTCTTTCTCAGACATAATGGTCTTCAGCTTCTTTGCGCTGCGATGTTGCATTGCGATGGGTTGTTGCAATGGTAATTAGCTCCAAAATTTAGGAGATGCCTTTACTTCGAGTGTTGTTATAAGAATGTATTTTTATATGGAGGGATTTAATGCGTACCAAAAAAAAATCCTTATTAAAACATACCTGTACAGTGAGTGAAGTCTACAACGTAGCCAATATTCAGTGTTCTGGCAGCAGAAAACAGAAGGTAACAGCTCTGCACATGCCATGTCTGTAATGCTCCTGATGTTGGAGTTGAGCATTTGAATCTTTTGTGGTTAATTTCATACTTTTTTTTTTTTTCCTCCATTTAACCATTATGATTCTGTTTGTAAAGCTGAGGGTTTCCCTTTTCCAGCAGAAAGTACTACCAAAATAAAGATGGATTGGATTGTTAAGTGCCTGCATTTGTTTGGTGGCAGTGTTGTATTGCACATCCAGACCCATGCATTACCGAGCCGTGGAGTGGTGCACCTATCAAGAATTCACCCTGCCAAGAGGAGCACTTCACTGCTCTGCTTGGATCCGTGCCTGAGACAGACTCAGTGGGTGGCTGCTGGAGTGGGTGGGAAGAAGAGGATATGATGAAAGTCGCCCATCACCAGCCCTGGGATCAGCTAAGGACGTGATGGAATGAAAGGGGGTTGTGCATGTGCCAAGTTACCCCACGTTTGTTAATGCAAATTTGGCCCAAGTTCTCAGTTTCCACACTAGTTTGTGTTCAGTGGTGTCTCGAGGGCAGCGTGCCGTTTTTTATTTCTCTTTTAAGCTGCAAAACAAGATCCTTTCCGAGTACTGTTTTCTTAAGAGCTCTTCCGAATGCTCCTGATTCAGCACATTGAATGTCTCAACGGTCCGAGTTCCCTGGAGCTTTCAGTTCCCCTTTTTCCCTGCTCTGAATTGCTTTGAGCCTCTCACTTGAAGTTCCCACCCCATCCCTGTGCCGCAGGCACTGACACCAGCCCTGGCGCTGCTCAACTCCATCCAGCTGCTTCTGGGAGGCTTGCAAGCAGCACCGGAGGTGCAGCTGTGTGCAGCTGTTGTGAGCAGGAGCCCAGCAGTGGCACTGTGCAGGACGGGGAACCCAAAGGTGAGCTCACTTAAGGTCCTTTCAGTATTAAATGCATTTTCTGTTCCTATAGGAATGCCTGGGCTCTGCTGTGCGCTGGGTAATGAAGTGGCCCTGCAGCAACCCTGTTTAGGGGATCTCTCAGGTGCATCACTGTGTTACGTTGTCAGTGAATTCGCTAAGAACGAGCTGTGCATCTGTGCTGTCCCACAGTGAAGAGCAGCCTCCTCTGGCTGCAGTTTGCTGCCCGATGGGATGCGGGAGCGTGCTCTGCTCCTTGCAGTGAGCACTACAGCAGCTGCAGAAGAGCTGCAGCCTGGTGTCAAGCAACAGCTGGGCTGCTTCTGTGCTTTTGCTCAATTCTGCCAATCAGTTGCAGAGCTGCTGTTCTAAGATGGTCAAATTGCTTTCTTTTAATGTGATTAGTCATGTGAATACATGCCTTTCCTATGTATTTGGACTTCCTGGCTTATCTGATCTCCTCACCATTTGGCATGCAGATCCATTAGAAAGCTATTTAAAAAATTAAAAAAAAATCTTGATCCCAACTTTGCTGGGGAAGCAATTAAAAGGAGTAGAAGCAAATTATATGTATACTAAAAACAAAGGGGAAAAGAAAAGCAAGAAAGAAAATTGCATGTGGGGCACAGGGCTGACCCCAGAGAGGAGAGAGTGCTGTTGACTCCTTGTGATTGCACATATTGCAAGCACCAGGAATGTAGTATGATATTACAACCCATGTATGCTTCTGAATGAATTAATATAATGCAAAATGCAGTGTTGATGCTTCCAGCTGCTGTAGCAGTGCTCATAGTGGGGTCAGCACTTACCCAGGCTGACGTCAGGCTGCAGAGAGCCACGGCTCTCAGCTCTGCAGCATCCAACCCTGTCCATCCAGCACTGAAGGAGAGGACGAGCCTGGACGTCCCTGAGCTGCAGAAGACACTGTTGTGATGGAAAGTCCATTGCCAGGTGAGGAGCTTCATATTGCTGTTTTGTAAGTGAAAAATCACATGCAGGGTGTTTCCACGACTGAGTTTTTTCAGGGTTATTTCAATAGTGTTACGCTAAAAGCATGAGATCGGTGCTTTCCAGCTCAATTCTCAACACTGAGGTTTGCACCAACATGTTTAGAAAGCAGAAGAACGACGAAGTTCTGCATTTCTGGCTGCATGGATTTTGACTTGCCATTGATGCAGCACTCGTCTCAGCTGAGCCTGGCTCCATCCCCAGTGAAGGCTTCTCCGGGGAGGACTCCCTAAGTTCACTTCTCTCAGGGAGGTTTTAAATTTGGGCTTAGAGCCGTTTTTATGAGCTTTTTGGAGGAAAATAACTTCTTTGAAGAGCTGCGCGTGAGAGTAGAATCAGTACAAGTCTATCCCCTATTTATCAGGCAGGGCAGTGCAGGGCTTGGCTGCAGGTTTCTGTTGGCAGATGTTTGCAAGCAGGAGGGCACAGCGCTCACCTCTGCACTCTGGTGCATGAGGGTGCATGCAGGGAGCCAGCAGCGCTGCAGCCCTTTCTCAAAACCCCTTCCTGCAGTCAGCTCTGGTGTGGGATCCCAAAGAAAGCTCCAGGCACAGCAATTCAAGATAAGCTCCGTGCCAATAGCTGGGGAGCAAACAGGATCCGTTACCCAGAGCAAATATTGAATTCTCCCATAAACAGTGAACAGAGTCGTAGAATTGTGTATGAACTCCAGCTGTCCGATCCGTGAAATCAGGAAATGATGTCCAAGGGGAAAAGAGCACAATGCATTTGAAGTTGCTTTAATTTTTGGTTTCTGCTGTTTTAAGGGGTTTAAATGCAAAAACACTGTTTGAGGTTCCCTCCCAGCCACCACAGAGGGTTGCTTTGTGGAAACTTTGCTATTTGGCCACGTGGCTGGAGCTGGGTTTAATGTTTCCCAACTCCAAGAATTCCCTGCTCGGTATTTAGGAGGATACAAAAGCACAAACTGGTGTTTTCTTAATTATATTCTCTGGCTATATGAGATCTACAATTTGCTACATAGCATCTGCCACTTAATCCTCTCCCCTTGACTTTTCTATTGTCAGCCTTATGTAGATGCAGAACCAGCTCAAAGCCCCTCCAACAAAGCATCTCAGGATGGCGTGGGATGCATCTGTGACTGCACAGAGGCAGCTCCATGTTCACCTGCATGCTTTCACACTCTTTCCTTTGAATCTCTTCTTGGTTGCCCAATGTAGGAAAGCTCTAGACCTTTGACATGCTATTGGATTTCTCCAAAGTGGAGTTTAGCCAAGTGAATGTATTAATTACCTGTTTTCATTCTGAACAGTGTTGTTTTGTCTCTCATCCTAGCTGGGAAAATGCAGAGAGCATTCAAAAAAGCCTCAAAAATTAGTCAGCAAACCTGGGCTCTCTTATGGAAAAACATTCTGCTGGTGTGGAGGAAGAAAACAGAAAGCTTCCAGGCAAGTGTCTGTTCTTCCAAAGGAAATTTAGGATTTCCACTACTAGTATTTTTATATCACGTTGTTTTTATGTCAGATGATAGGTGAGGAGCCTCAGCTGGCAACGTGGCTCTCTGAAAAATGTCCTCAGTTACAGCTTTTCCTGTGACACTACAACAAGGGCTTGATACAAGGCCAGCTTGCTGCTTTGGTTGCTGATCCCATCTCCACACTGACCAGAACACAATACACAGTGCACAATTGCTGGTGTAAGATTATAGGCAGACTTCATTGGCTCCTGTGCTAGGACATGTTCTTCACTTGGAACAGTCCTCATATTTTAAAATTACAGCTCCTATGAAATAGCTTGTTTATGGAAAGACTACATTTGTGTCTAAATGCTTTGGACCATGCAGGTGGATCCGTGCACGATGAGAAGCCCTTGAGGCAGCACCAGGCACTTCCCATTGCTCCCAAACTCCACATCACTGCACTGCCACTCACCTGTATTCCCCTCCTTTCACCTAGGAGTGGATCACCATTGCGATTCTTCTCTTAATAATACAATTATCATCAAGTGTGATCTACAATTTTAAGCGACAAGAAATCCCTTACAAGTTCCTTGGGCGTTTGGATGACCCCACCTTCAGGGTGAAGGAAGCGACGCTCATCTACACACCTGCAACCAGCACCACCAGGAAAATAATGGGAAGAGTGGCCTCAGACTCTGTGCTGAAGGGTAAAACTGCTCATGTTCTCGGTGCAGATATGAGGCTGCACAGATCCCAAGCGTGGGCACCTCAGCCTTCATTGTGGTGGGAGGGAAAAGGGTTTGAACACTGCTCTGTGAGTGCACAGTGTGGCTGATGTCTTCTCTTGTCTCACTGCTGATCAGTGTTGTTTATTACCAGGTATAACAATAGAAGAGGCCGTAAATGAGAAAAACCTGTCAGCAAGAGGAATTTTGAAGTATGATGCAATCGGTGTTGTTTTTAAGGATGACTTCTCCTACCATCTCAGATTTCAGAGCTACCGTGTGATATCTCCCGTTGATGCCTTTGAACACATTGGTAAAAGGAATGAATGAAACCAGAGAATGTGATTTAGTGGTTGGTAACCCTGCCTGTGGCAATTGGGTTGGAAGTAGATCATCTTTGAGGCTCCTTCCAACCCAAACCATTCAATGATTTCATATTGAAATGAGTTTAGATGGATCTCTGCTGCCATGGCACTCAGATGGGATCAGGTCTGTATGTGAAAAGGAAATATTTTAATTGCAGTTTAAGGACAATGTCAAAGTGTTTTTTAGGAGCACATGTACATTATCCAAAGTCCTTGCTGTCCCTCTCCCTTCTATGCTGGATCATGCAGTGGAAGTGCACACTGTTTGTGCACTAATGCACTTCTAACACGCATTTAATACCTTAAAACATCAACCTGCACACACTTCTATCCAAATTACTTCTTTCTTTGACCAAATGCATTCACAGTTAGTGTCTAGAAGTAACAAAGCAAAACAAAAACTCAGCTTATTTCCAGAGAAAACATCAAGTGAGTTCATTGGTTAACTGGCCAAAAAGAAAGAAAAAAATGTCTTGGAAAACAGATTGTGAGACTATTTCTGCCATGCCCAGCAGTCAGCAGCTCCCCACAGCTGTGCCCACTGCTCTGGGTTTCCTAGAGGTGATGCCCTCCAGCTGGTGGCTTAATTTGGGTTGATTGGCTCTCAGGTGAAACATATTTTCAACCATACACATGTATAAAAATATATATACAAATATATACATATATAAGACTTAATTGTCTTTGTTTCCCCTAGATACCTGCTACAATGTGTCATCACCCTACTGCAAGATTCCTTCGTACTGGTATGGAGGATTCCTGTCCATTCAGTCCAGCATTGATGCAGCAGTCATAGAGGTATGGGCATGATGGAAGACATGGTTTATCCATAGTTATTCATATACTTTGCTTTAAAAAAAAACCAACAAAACAAAACCAAACACATGGAATAACTGTGAGCTGTTGCTGACTTAGAGATTGGAAGCCCATTTCCGGACTTAAAAGGTGTGGAACTTATTTTGTTGCCAAACTATTTTTTTTTTCCCCTTTTATATTTGCACGTTTATACAAAAATTTGAAGTAAAATGAATGAAGACACCATTGCCAGAATCTTTATCTGTGAGGTTTTATTTTTATCACGTTGGTCCATTTCGAAAAATAAATGTGAAGTGTTTAATATGGACCAAAATGTATTTTTCAGTGATAAACTCTTCCATCCATCATGAAAAGATAATCGTCTCCAAATACGGTATTTACAGAGCAGTAAAGCTCCTGCCCTTTAGCTATGCTATAATTGCTTTACAACTTCTGCTCTATTCCTTTTCCATCTGCTTTGTAGGTCATGCCTGTGCTCAGATGCAACATTAGCGTTTATTACAAAAAGATATCAAATTTTGATGGTAATTTACCAGTTTTAAATGTAACATCATTACTGAAATACTAATTATTGTCAAGCCTGTGAAAAGCTGTTTATTGGCTGCTTCATTACGGAATATAAAATTAATGGCTGGCTTCTTTTCTTCAGATGAAAACGAACCGTTCTGTCTGGGAAGAGATGAAATCAATTAGCGGCATCCGTCTGCAATCACCCTTGATCAAATCCATATATAAAGTGAATTACATTTGGTTCACCATTTACAGCATGCTGTGTTTCTCCCCTTATGTGTACTTTCTATCAGTGAAAGTTATCAGAGAGAAAAAGAAGCTCAAGGTGTTAATGAAAGCAATGGGTTTACAGGACATCGCCTTCTGGTCAGTGGCACAGTGTGTTGAGGTTGGGCTTGGTGACCTTTTCCAACCTTAGAGGTTCCATGCTCCAATGAAAAGGGAATTTCTTGTGACTCGTTGGCAGGTTGTCCTGGAGCCTGCTGTACACCATTTACATCGCCATAACGTCGAGTCTGCTGGCAGCAATCACGGTTGGAGAGGTCACCCAAGACCGCAGCTTTTCAGAAATATATTTCCTTTATTTTTTCTACGGCATTGCGTCTGTAAGTCTGCTTTTGTGTTTTTAAACGATGAGTGACTTTTCCAGTTCCTAATTAAAACATCTAAAACTCAGACTGCAGAGTCTAGGGCTGCAAGAATGTAGCAGAAACTTCTCCATTACCTGATTTTCTTGTACGGTTTGTAGGCTGCTGTATCACTCCTGTAGATGACCCCAGATTTTCCCATGTTGTGGGTTCTTTTACCTTGTTGTTGTTGTTGTTGTTGGTTTATTTTTGCTTAATCACTAGCAGAAATGCATCCTGCTGACTGCTGGTTCTCTCTGCTGCAGATTCACTTCTGTTTCATGCTCAGCTCCTTGTTAAAGCAGCCTCATATTACCAGTTTTGTGGGATTTTTCCTTCACATCGTCTTCGGTTCGCTGGGCTTCATGACACTGTTTGAACAAGTGCCACCATCTTTGGAATGGGTCTTTAACCTCTTCAGTCCTTACACCTTTACAGCTGGCATCTCAAAGGTATGCTCAAAACAAAGCCATTTTATCAGGAGCTTTCAGCTTGCAGCACACACAGCTTCTGCCATCTGGCATTGCATCTGCTATATGTGACGTGCATCTCCGTAATGATGCAGTTGTGCCCCTACACCCTAAATGCTTTGCAGGAAGAAAACACGACTCCAAAAAGTAGATGTTAGATATTGGTCAGCAGGAATATTACTAGCTGAACACACTATAAGTTTCCATCTCTGGAAAGCTGTTGCAGCAGTGAGATGTGGCCGGTGGGCACCCAGAGCTGCAGAGCAGCAATGTGTCCAGCTGCTGCCCCAGCCAACACCACAGGCATTGCACTGCTGCTGAGGAGACCTCTGCAAGAGTCCAAGTTCACTCTACTGAGACCCTGCTGATGCTTCTGGTCTTTAAGTCATAGAAACAGTGCCATCATCACAAGTGGACGGGCTTCCTGGGAACAAAAGGCCATGTGACACAGCTGTAGCTTGCACGTCGTATCTCTGGCTAAAGGAAGGGCTGCATCTGATTTGTGCTGTTTTGGTTTTGGTTTTGTTTTTTTTCTACCTAGATTGTAAAATTAGAAAAATATGGACCAACTGTTGCAATGGAGTTGTACCCTTTCTTTAACCAATACAGCATGCTGATCCTGGACAGCATCCTGTATTTACTGCTGGCCATCTACTTTGATAAGGTTTTGCCTGGTAAGTAGAAACATATGTGAAAAACAACAAATTTCAATTTTCTTCTATCCTGCCCCCTCGTCGGGGGAGAGGTGCCAACAGAGCAATGGGATGGAGCAGAGGAAGCCATTATCTGCATGGAAGAGAAGAAAGGCATTGCAGCATTGTGCAGGCCAGGTTGTGGTGCAGCATCTTAGCAGCAGTAGACTGTGCCATGGAGGGCTGCCAACTGGGTTTGCTATCTTGCTCATGAAAAAAAGATGTAGGAAGATCCTGTTTCCCAGCAGAAGGCTGCATGCAGCAAAATAATTTGGCCTCCAAAACAGGCTCCAAAAGGAACCTGACAACTTCCACCATGGCTCTGTGCTGGTCTACATCTGCTGCAATGGCCCCAACCACTTGAAAGGATGTTCTGATGTTCAGGTGTTTTGGTAACCATTGAGATGACTGCTGCCTACATGCAGTTATAGATACAGATGTGTGAGCAGAAATAGCAAAAATTACCCATCCTTTTGCACTGTCAATATGCTGCTGCTGCCCAAGAGCTGTTTGTGGTGTTTATAGAAGCTGAGCTGTAGCAGTGTGGGGGCTGCATTTCACTCTGTTTATTTCTATTTAGGCAAATATGGGGTGCCATATCCCCCCCTGTTCTTCCTCAGGCCGTCATATTGGCTGCAGCAGGACAGCAAGTGCAGCACCCAGCCTGACCCCATCCCTGTCCCTGGCTGTGACACTGAGCCCATGCCTGAGGGCTTCGAGGGGAAGGAGGCCATCAGGTATGGAGAGCAGCTCTGCACGGTGTGAGCGCAGCCATAAAACCCTAAAACACTTTAGAACTTATCTAAAACACTTTAGAACTTATCTAAAGTGATTCCTTCAGATAGAATTACAGAACTGTAGGGGTTGTAAGGGACATCTGTGGATGTGCTCATCCAACCCTTGGTGCTGTTGGGCAGGTCCAGCATGGGGAAGAGGCCAAAAAATGTTCTTCCCACCGTTTTCAAAGGTTACTTCCTTGCCAAAATGGTGCGATTCATTACTAATAGCTTGCTTACCTTTCATTTAGACTATACAACATTAGAAAAATATATGAGAGGAAGGGCAAGAGAACCGAAGCTTTAAGAGGTAAGAGCTGGCTTAGTAATGGCTTTAATTTTATTTTTCACTGGCGATGAACCCAAGCTGTTCTGAAATGTATTGGATGTACCTGATTGTGCTTCCAGCACCGTTAAAATGCATTATGCAACAGTTATTCCTGCTGGGGTAAATCACTGGCAAATTTCTACAAGGTTGTTACCTTTTCCTTTTCACTCCAGGAAAATTACTGTTTATTGCTTTTTGCAATGGCAGAACTCTCCTTGAAAGCTGCGGGCTCGAGTGAAATCACCTCCCAACCCTCCCTGTGAAAATGTAAATTCATCCGGGCAAACACAACTCATTTTTTGGGCCCTAGCTGGAAGCAGGGCTGTTGTCACTGGCTGGGCCTTGGTCCCCCAGCGTTTGTGCATTTGCCAGCTGCAAGGTACGCCAATGGTTGGCAATGTCATAGCACAGCCATGAGATGTTTGCTAAATGCCTTTGTTTAACAAGAACTGACGTCACACTGAAAACATCAGAGCGGCCTCAAAGGTTGATATTGAGTTAAGTACAAAACAAAAAGAAAGCCCACAAAAATCCCAAATGAGTCCTTTTTAAAAGGAAGTGGGATGGCAAAGTCTCCCTAACTGGAAAGGCTATGGTTTCTCCTCTTCCTGTGGGTTCTCTTTTGAGTCATGCTAAAATAAAAGGTTATGAACCTTGCAGGAAACAAGGTCGACGTTTTTCTTCAATTATTTATATGCAGCACATGTTTTCAGATCTGTGTCAGGAGAGATGGTGTCCCTCTATCACACTCAGCAGTAAGCCACAGGCAAAAGTCTGTTAGCCTTGCACGCTTCCACCCTAATAGTGCCGGGTTTCTCTTCTAGGTTTGTCCTTCAGCATTTATGAAGGTCAGATCACTGCATTGCTTGGTCTCAGTGGGTCTGGTAAAACTGCCCTCTTGAATGTGCTCAGTGGATTTTCCAAGCCTTCAGCAGGTAATGACTGGAGAAGAAGAGAAGCTCTCTAGTTTTCAAGCATAAATAAGCAAAAAAGTAATTTTTCCTTCAGTCCTCCAATCTGGCCTATTGTAAGCACAGATTGCTCCTTCAGCATTGAGCTCCATGGATTTTCTCTTGTGTGTGAGCACATGTGGATGATTATTTCTCCCTCTAGATGTCCTGATGTTTTCCATGAGCTGTATATCTTTGGGAAATACATTTTATTTTGTCAGCTATACATTTCTATATATACTGCATATGACATTTGTTTCATTTATTCCTATGTGCAGGTTCTGCAGTGATTTACAACTACAAGGTGTCTGAAGTACAGGATATGGAAGGAATTCAGGCAGTGGTTGGGATTTGCCCACAGTTAGATTTACATTTTGAAGCCTTAACAGTGAAGGAAAACTTGAGAATTTTTGCTCACGTCAAGGGGATTCAGTGGAAAGAAGTAGAGCAAGAGGTAGGAATCACTGACCTCTATCACACAGCATCTTGGACGGTTTGTTGGGCTACATTCGTAATACTTTCCCACATTAACCTGTTCTGCAGAAATTAGAACAGTTGTAATTTAGAGATGTGTTTTTAATTCTTATCCTATTGTCCTGAAAGTCAGAATTCAGATTTGCAGTATTTTTCTCGCAGCAAATCCATTTAAAAACATATAAGTATTAAATTCAGAAGTTGTCTTCTCCTGCACTTTGTATGAATCAGAATATGACCAGTTCTGCATGTTCTTCTTTTCATGTGTTCCCAAGGTGCAGAAAGTCCTGGTACAGTTGGACCTCGCCGACCTTCAGGATGTCCACGCTGACTCTCTGAGTGGGGGACAAAAAAGAAAACTCTCTCTTGCAATTGCAATTTTAGGGGATCCCCAGGTAGGCACCAGTCCTACCCCAGGCATGGTTTTGGTATGCAGACATCTGTATTCCTTTGCCCTTGTGCTCTGAAAGCCTGACTCACTTGGCTGCCAGAAGGAATGAGGAATCCAGGTGAATGAGAACTGTATTTTAAACGAAAATGGTAATCATATTCACATAGAAAGGGTAAAAATATTGAAAGCTCGATAAAAAATGGCCAGCATTTGAGGACGCATTGTGTTCTATTGGGTGAGAGGACAACAAGCACGGAACAAAGCCTGCCAACACAATGGCTTGTATGCATGACACCTGCTCTCACCTTGCAGGTGCTGCTCTTGGACGAGCCAATGGTGGGGCTGGATCCCTGCTCCAGGCACCACGTGTGGGAGCTGCTGGCCGAGCGCCGGGCTGGCCGTGTGACACTCATCTGTACACAGTCTGTGGAGGAGGCTGATGCTTGTGCCGGTGTGGAAATTGGGGATTCCCTACTTGGATCCCACCCTTGGGGTTCTGCTGTGATGCCGTCTGCACTTGTTTGGGTTTTGTCCAGTAGCAACCACAAAATCTTGCAGTTGAGCAAAGGCTCATCCTCTGCCCCAGGTGTCCTTCCTAGGCCTTGCTCATGCTCTGCATGAGGGTGAAGACTCCCATAGGCTTAGCACCCACTCCAATTAATGACCTTTCTTGGATTGGTATCTTTCTCATTTCTTTATTTATCTTGGGCTGCATGGGGAATTTTGTAAGAATATATAAGCAGGAGACTAGCCTGGTTCTACTCCTCTTGACTTCACTATGAAAGTATCTCTGGAGTTCTGAAAGAGCAGAGGTAAGGTCAGACTACTGCCTTGTTGTAAATCCCCACTAAATCTCTATGTTCCTACCTCCTCAGATCGGAAAGCTTTCCTTTCAAATGGGAGATTACAGTGCGTTGGCTCATCTCTGTACTTGAAGAGAAAATGGGGAATTGGCTATCACTTAAGGTGAAATCCTTTTCTTTTTGGTCATCACTCTTTTTATGAAAAGCTTCTGGTTGATGTATTTTCTCATAGAGTCTATGTTTCTATGGTGTTTTCATACAGAGAAATAAAAATCTTGACAATCCATTTTAGGAGTCTTTTCAGGCTGCCAAGTCTATCTTGCCTTGGATAGCAAGCTGCTTTTCTTTGGACCCAATCCTGAGAGCTCTGAGTATGCAGCTAAGATGACTTTGCAACCTCTTTTGCAGCCAAAAGGGGACCAGAGTAGAATGAACAGCAGCTCCCACATTCTCTATGGTGCCAGAGTGACTTACAGTGGCTTTAATGTAAAGTTGCTTTTCATTGGATTTAAATTTCTGTGTTCTCGGTTAAGCAGTGCTGGCCAGGATCGTTATTCTTCACCTCAACTATTTATTGCATGCTTGGTAAAACCAGGGGCACGGCAGATGTCTGTGGATAATTCCCACTGAACTGCTGCCTGGTTTTGGAGGTTTCCCTATGGCTTGAAGAATAACTGCTGGCTTTGTCTCTTAAATGGATGAAGCATGCATCGCTTTTTTTTGTTTAATACTCTTGCAATCACTCTTTAATACAAACAGGATGTGCATAAATGATCAGTGTGACCCTGGGCTTGCATCATCCCTGGTCAGGCGGTACATCCCCAATGCTGTGCTCAAAGGGCGGGACAGGGATGAGCTGTGTTACATGCTGCCTCTGGAAAATACCAAGAGTTTCCCAGGTAACAAAAGCCTGCCGTTGCATCGAGGTTGTATGGGGATGCCAGATCTGAATGCTAAGGGAGCCCAGGTGTTGGGCTGAGCTGGTTCACTTTGTCACACAGATCTGCTTGGCCACCTCGACAACGGCCTCTTGCTGGGCGTTGTTCATTACGAGGTCAGCAGGACAACCCTGGCAGATGCTCTCCTGAAGTTGGAAGGCAAGGAAGATATTGATCACAAAGGTAAAGCACTGATTCCTTTCTGCAAGATCAAGCGTTCGTATTTTGTTTTCAGTTTAAAAAAATAGGCGTGAGTTTCTGTTGAATGTGATGTTTTGCTGTTCTTGGCAGGTCAAGAGTTGCAGTTGTATAAAAGTTCAGATTTTCTTTGATAACGGCTAACTTCCCTGAGAAGTCTGAATGATTCAGGCTTAATTTGCGACAGGCTTCTAAACACAAGGACTAAAGAGCGATGTTGTAAAGGTTTTGCAGGAAATATCCTCCCTGGAGCAGGAGGTGGGAAAAGACAATCTAGTCAAGGGCAGTTCCCAAGGCCAGGGAAGACATCGCATGTTTGGTCACACAAGCTCAGGTTCAGCCGCTCTCAATTCACCAACATAAATTAATTCTGATTACCCAATGGCCTTTTTTCTGCCATTTTGTCTTCTCTGACTAAAATAGAAGCACTTCTATTCAGAACTGAAAACCCGTTTTTATTGCTTGTGCTTAAAACACGTGCTTTGGAAGCTCATTGTGGATAATGGTGTTTGTCATGGTGAACGTGCAGAAAACCTGAAGGAGAGCGACCAGAACTTCCTGGGCTTTTCTGAACCTGCACACACAGCAGCAAGTGGCATGGAGCTCTGGAGGCAGCAGGTCCTCGCCGTGGCCAGAGTTCGTTTCTACAGATTGAGGCACGATGGAAAGCTTCTCCGGTCCCTGTAAGCACTGAGCCCTGCAGCCCCTATAGTGACTCGTTGCTTTGCAGAGGTTTTGGTCCCTGGGTTGACTGATGGAAAGCTTAAAAACTGCTGGAGTGGTTTGGAAGCTGAGAAGTAGGTGTTGGTTGTGTAAAAGTTGCAGTGATAAAAATAGAACTTCCTGATAGAGCTCTGAATTGTTTAAGTATATTTCCCAGCTTTAAATTTCTTCTTGATTTTGCTACGTGAATCACACCAGTGCTTAACGGTGCAATTCCCTGGAGCCACTCATGGTCTGTTTTTCCATCTAGATTGCTGTTCTTTGGAGTATTTATCATCCAGATGCTCATGTTTTTCTTTGGTTTCAATCTATGGAACAAATCCATCTCAGAACTGACAGCCAGCAAGTATTTTCTTCCCGCTCAGCCTCCCACTCAAACTCAAAGCAAGGCAACAAATCTTCTCATCTTCAATGACACAGGTGAAGAGCACATGATGCTGATTGGCATTCTGCATTACTCTGAGTGCTCTTGGAGCTGAAAGGGCATCTTTGCATTCTGTTTTCTGCATGGTCCTTTATAGGTCTGTGGATCTGGGGGGTGCTTTGTTTTGAGTGGACACAAATCCAATTTTAGTGGTGATTAATGAGTAGCTGATATGAAAAAGAACCATGGATCAGCTAATTTTTTTTTAAAAACGACAATACATGAAGTATGGAAATGTGCTGTCTAACAAGTTTCGTTCAAATAGGAAAGAAAAACAGAGGAAATAGAAATTGATTCAGATTCTAAATGAGTGTTTTAGCATTATTTGGTTTTGCAAGCGAGAGTTTGTCTATAAAAAAAAAAAACTGATTGTATTAAAAACCTAATTCTAATTTGTGTTCTTGACATTAATTCAGGATCAGAAATAGAGGATTTCATTGCTGCTTTGAAGATTCAAAATATAATGCCAGAAATAACTCTCGAGAAAAACATCACAAGCCTGCCACAACATAATGGAGCTATAAAGATATCCCTGGAAGGCAAGGTGAAGGATGTTATTTTATTCTTTTGTCCTGTACATCAATAGGATTCTCTGATGTTATGTTTATATGGGATGCAGTGAAATAGAGCAGCCAAAGGAGAAAATTTATTTGACGCATTAAATATTATCAGTAATCCTGTTGGTGAGAAGCCAGGATCATGGCAATCTTTGGAGAAAAGTATTAATGCAAGTCATCTCTGCTTTTCTCCATAGGTCATGATTTCCACCCATTGCTTTGCTCGTGGTGCCCTTCAGTACTCAGCCACGTCTCTAATAAAACTGACTGCACTTTTCATTGCTTTCCTCCACAATTCTCGAAGCTCACGCAGGCACAAAGCTGACGTCTTTCCCTCTCACACTTTCAGCACCGCCACTACACGCTCATGTGCGGCGCGGAGCCCATCAACTGCTTCCCTGTGCTCATCAACACCCTCAGCAACACCTTCCTGAGATTCTTCAATTCCACAGCACGGATCCGCATCTGGAGCCATCCCTTCTCTAGAGTGAGCATCCTGCCAAATTAGTGTTGGAAATTACTTGAAATGGCCAAAAAGCTGAGGGTTGGAGAGGAAAGACTGGCTGGACCACAGTGTTTCCAGGGATTGGCTGGGGTCTGTGCTCCACTCAATGGGCACGTTAAATACTGGGGCCATTTGCTGTAAATTTCTACCATGGTGTTTCTTAATAAGGTTTTGGTACTGTATGACATTCAAGCTCGTGCTATGTGTCAATAAGGTAGGATTACAGCAGCAGTATTTTCAATTTGCTTCAGCATCAGAAATGTGTTGCCTAACCTCAACAGTTTACAGCAATTCCAATACCTCCTGCAAATTTTAAGATGGTAAATGCTTTGTTTATTGTTTTGTATTCTTCAGCACAAAGGGATTACTGTGATTACATACTTGTCCTATGGCTCATTTGTGTGAATGTCAAGCTTGCTAATTTTCTCTGGACAGCTATTGATTATGATTTCTGAATTTCTCTTCCGTAGGCAGAAAACCCAGAAGCAGGCCGTGGTATTTTTTTTCTCAGTGTTGCTTACATGCTGATCTGGGCTGCTGGTTTGCCTCCTCACTTTGCAGTGAGCAGCGTGGAGGATTACAAGGTAAAAGGCATGCTCTGAAAGTGGTCTTGCACAAGGAGAAATGAATGGAAACACACTGTCCCTGTCCATTAGTTGAACTATTTGGGTGTTTCATCTATAAAGACTTGGGAGTCAGAAAGATATTTTTTTTTTCATTTTTCCTTGAGAATGATATGCTTTTTAGCAACAGTTGGACTAAGATAGAATTGAAGGAATTTGAAAGAGAGAGGAATGCTCAGCTGGGAAGGAGAAGCAAAGGCAATGGAGAAGGATGAGGAGGAGTGGGAATGGCATTTGATGCTCTGCTGAATCTCCTCCTTCTCCCCTTTCCATCACAGAAAAAGGCTCGTGCCCAGCTGCGGGTCTCGGGGCTCTTTCCCTCGGCATACTGGTGTGGGCAGGCACTGGTGGACGTCCCACTCTTCTGGGCCCTGATGTGCCTCATGTTCATAGTCGTGCTGCTCTTCAACCGCATCTGCCCCATGGAGGCTTTCATCATCCTGCCCATGGTGCGAAAATCCCCCTCCCTCATCCCACACCGTGTGACCACGATTGGCTGATGCTGATGTACTCAGTAATTTAACCAAACAAACCGCTGTAAGCAGGATTTGGTGTATCCACATCGATTTCCTTGCCAGTGACATCCTTCTCTCTTTAGGTCTTCAGTGCCATTGGTTACGGAGTTTCTCTCATCTTCCTCGTCTATTTGATCGCCTTTATGTTTCGCAAGCGTCGAACCAATCGTTACCTGTGGTCTTTTGTCTTCGTTCTGGTAAGAGGAGGGAATCTTCCCCCTGTAACATTTGATAACACATCTTGCCATTTGAGGTTTCACTTTGAATGCGTTAAGATTCAACAGAATAACCCAGATCAGTAACAAGCAGCCTAGTTTTTAGTAACAGGATGCATAAATATTGGAAACACTTTTTCTGCTTTATTCCAGGTGAACTTCACTCTCCATATGTTCAGTAACAGCTATGTTTTCTTCTACATCTTCTCCACTTTGGTGCCCCCATATCCACTCCTGGGCTGGTTGATTTTCTCTACAAGAGTAAGTCCATGTGCCAGTAGAATCAAAAGTTGCCCCCAACTACCCAGAAGATAAAGACAAAGAAAATGGGATAAGAAAAGCTCTGGGCTAGGGAGTGAGGGAAGAGATCAAGAAAATTTGATTTATTGATCCTTTACTTGATGGGAAGGTCAGTCCCTACAGCTCACACACCTGCACTGAGGTACACTGTGCTTGGCAATTTTTCTGACTGATACTGTTTTTTTTCTTGTAGCACCTATCATTTATTTCCAGTAGTAATCTTCTTCGTGATAAATGGAGTAACATCTTGGTTGCTGTCTTTGCAGTAAGGAACAATTTGATGATAATTATTTTGGAATAGATGCTTGTTCTGACTTACATTGAGTTTGCAAAAGTCTTGCCACTAATAAATCGTGGGTTATGTGGTGGAAGTTTCACCCTGAATGTTGTTGGGGGGTACAGTGAAGTAATCATAGGCTTGTCTCATGGGACTCCCACATGCTGCAACATATGTGGAAAAATGGTAGGGAATTAAGCGGACTTCAGGCAATAAGTGAAAGATGTTATTAATTAATCAGCCTAATGCTGCATCTTCAAAAGAAAGATGTGATTTCAGATCCTGTAGGATGCCTCCAAGATTTTGTCAAGGTGCAGATTATCTGAACCAAAACTGGAGCAGTGTAAAGTCAGGGCTGTTGCAAGTGATCTGCATTCGAGATGGAAACATCTGTTCTTTCCAATAGCTGAAGTAAACTGTGGGGCCAAGCATCCCTTTATAATTAAAATTAATTGTGTTGTTACCTTTCTCCGTGCAAACCTAACTCATTGCTGTCTTCCAGCCTTACATCCACAGTGTGTTGTTTGGGTTTCTGCTGTGCTGCTTGGAGATACGATATGGAGAAGCAGTTGCAGAACGTGATCCCATCTTCAGGTGAGTACTGGGTGCACTGGGAGCAGCTGGCATGGCACTCACGGGCAGGCCCAGGGCTGTGCCAGGTGGGACCAGCCTGCCTCACCCTGATGGCAGTGGAACGGGATGAGTAAGCCCCAAAGTACTTTGCAAAGTGTGTGCAAAGCCCACATTTTCGGTTTTAACCAGTTTAGGGGAGGAAATTGAGAATGGAGGAAGGAAATTTTTATTCCTTTAGATCATTATGGATCTGAGGCTTGATTTGCTCCATTTCCTTGAGTGTGTATCCAGGCAAACATCCACCTAGTGTGTTGCAATAGAAGGTCAATTGAAACACAGTGTCCTAGGAAGAATAGCAAATGTGATCTGAGCTCTTTTGGTTACGTTTGATTGCTGAGCTTTTAGGACATTTCACTGTAGCCATCTACATTAATAGTTACAAATTGAAATCCAACATTTTACCTCCTTCCCAAAAGCATCAGTAGATGCTTCTCTACAGGACAGATTTCTCCTAAAGTTCAATCAGACCAAGATCTTCTGCTAACCACTTACCTGTCACCAGAAGTGTGGGACAGACCTCCCAAATCACATGGGAGAAGACTTGTAATAGTGTTTGATTGTTAAATATAAAGGAACGGGACTCAGGTAGTTGTTGGATGCTGAAACAGCTCCAAAATCCTGTCCAGTGTGTTTGTGTGACCAGGTAATTGGCATGTGTTGAATGGGGGGCTGGTCAATATTACTGGTGAAACACAAAATGAAGCTGACCTTTATTTTCTCATGTGTGCCAGTGCAATTAATTCTTCTTGCCCTGCAAATAAATATGAAAAATGAAAATGAACAATTGCCACCTGTGGCACAAATTCAAACAAACCATGCTGAGTATTGCATTGGTGCTGCCCATGAAATAAATTCATAAAGCCCTGTAAACATGAGCATTTCCAGAAGGGCTGCGTGGTGACCCCATCCCTGCCTGCAGGATCCAATGGAGAAGAGCCCTCCCCCCCCACAACAGTGACCCACCAGGGCAGGAGCCCCCCGAGGTGCAGGCAGAACGGAAGCGGGCACGGAGTGCAGCAGGCTCCCTGCAGCCTGAGGTGAGCTGGGCACGCGGTTTCTTCAAGCAGTATTACTTAATGGTGAGAGCAGATGAGGTGTTTCATGACAGTTTCTATTCCTGCTTGGTCTGTGGACTGCTGTGGTCTTGGTCTTGCAGGAGTCAGTTATCGTTGTCAATGGTCTGCGCAAGGAGTATGAAGACAAGAAAGCCTGTTCCATCTTTAAGAAAAAGAAGAAAGTTGCCGTCAAAAATCTTTCATTTTGCGTTAAAAAAGGTTGGAGTACCTTGCTGTGCCTTCCCACCAATAGAAAAGCCTATGGAGACTTTGTTTTTGTTAGAATTCCCTCTAAAACCCAATGCAGGCAGCACTGCAGGGTTCATGTCCCTTCCAACTCAAGCCATTCTATGATTATATCCTCTTCCGCCAATCAGAGCTTCAATTTACTGGAATAATTTAACAAATGCCATTTAATGAATACATTCTTATACTGTATTTTGAGGGATTGCTGGGCTCCTAGAGGACAAGGTCTTAATAACAATTATCACCATTTACGTTTGTTGCACATTTGTTCCAGGAGAGGTGTTAGGTCTGTTAGGACCTAATGGAGCTGGGAAGAGCACAACTATACGCATGATTTCTGGAGACGTAGCAGTGACTGCTGGGGAGGTAGGAGGCTCCTTTGAGGCAGCGGGGGGTAGCCTTGATGCTTTCCTAAGTGAAGGTTGTGGTAAGAGAAGCTGGCAATGCAGCCCCTAATTCAGGGGATTTGTGTGCGTGCAACTCTGCACATGGACAGAAGTAAGAAGGAGGTGTTGATGCACGCAGAGCATGTTCTACTTTCATCAGAATCAATGTTAAAGACTTAAGGGTTTGAGCTACACGAAATCTTCAGGCTGCATTTGAAATCTGTCTTGATATTTTCTAAGCACTGCAAGAAATGTTGACATGTTAAAAAGGAATGACGCTCCCTGAAAAGCCTTGCAAAACCAGGAAATTGAAAACGAATGTGAGCTGGGTTGAGCCAGTAACAACCCATCACTTAATTATGCACACAATGATTAATGACATACGGTGGGGGGGAAATACCATTGCTATTACAGATTCGGGGTTGAGTATTTGAAAGAGAAAAGTGTTACTGGGCGATGATGGTTTCACACTGGTGCTATTCCCCACAGTCTGATGGTAGTAAACACCATTTGGCTTTGCACAAACAGCACCCTGGGTGAGGAGAAGCTGTGCTAAAAGGGGGTGGTCACAGGAATGATAGTCGGTTCCTTTTCCTTGAGGACCACATTGCTTCCCTGCAGCGCAGGAGAAAACAGTGGCATTTCCAAAGGGCTCGCTGCTTTCCCATAGCTGGGCACTGTCTCTGCAGGTGCTGCTGCAGGGCTGCAGGGCCGTGGTGCTGGGTTGCTGCCCACAGGAGGACCCGCTGTGGCTGGACCTCACCGTGCTCCAGCATCTGGAGGCCTATGCTGCTGTGCGAGGGGTGAGGGGAGAGGATGCAGCTGTGCTCATCAGCCGGTAGGCAGCCAAAGGATTCTTGTTTCCTCTCTCTGGAGGTATCAGATAGGAAAAGGCTTTCTGCTAACGGTTGGCACAAGGAAGACAAAGCACCTTACTTCTTGCATTTAGCTGCGTTTACAGTTTTGAATTTCTGTAACAAATTTGTAAATTAGGAGTAAAATCATTAAGTAACCCCCAGTGATGCACATCAGCTGAAGGCTGCTTGTCAGCCCATGGTTCCTCAGCACCCCTGGCTGTAGCATCAGCACACAGGGACGGTCATGTCAACGTTTTTCCTTTCTATCCCCGCAGTGCAGCCAAGGCCTTGGACCTCCAGAAGTGTTTAAAAACCCCAGCGAGGAGGCTGTCTGCTGGAGAAGCCAGGAAGGTCTGTGTTAGGTTTCTCCTTGGTGCTTGAGCAGGACCTGCTTTTCTTGCCTTGAGTGCGATGCACACATTCTAGCTCAGGAGCACATTGAGTGAGAGCAGAACACACTCCTGGGTGTTGTAAAACTTCATATTTTTTGTTTCACAACATAGCAATTTTCTTCTTGATTGAAATTCAGTCTTGAATTACAGTTTCTGGAAACCCGGTGTGCTGATGGCAGATCCCAAGGCTTTGGAGGGAGTGGGTGCCTGGCATGGCATGGTTCCATCAATGGCTTTTCAATCCTGGCAGGATCCTCCACTCCCTCCCTTCTCCACATTGTGCACTAAATAAATGTGAATCACAATTAGATTGATGAGGGTGATCACCTCTTCATGCCCTGTGGTTTGCATCTGCCTGTAGTCAGGATGGAAAATATCTTTCAGATCATTGGCAGATGTGTGTGGTTTGGTAAAGCTTAGTTTGGGAGATTAAAATGTTAAGTCAGAACACGAGGTGGGTTTACTGAATCCCTGTTCCTCTGTTTTTTTGTAATCAAGAGCTTCAGCTTCTATAATATTGACATGGGATAAAAGATATGAGGTGACTCACCATCTTCAGTGCATTAGTGCAGCTTAAACGCTGACCTGGCTATGTGTCTTTCCCATTCCAGCTGTGTTTTGCACTGAGCATCCTGGGGAGCCCAACGGTGATGCTTTGGGATGAGCCATCGGCAGGCATGGACGTGGCAGGGCAGCACTGCCTGTGGTGAGCAGTGCCTGGTGTAGGAATGGCTGGGCAAGGAAGGGCTCCTTGGTGGCTGCGGTCATCTGTGTTACCCCAGTGCACAGGGGTTGGGTATCACTCACCTGATTCCTCATCAGGCAGGCAGTAAACCTTTGCCAACCTTCGTATTGAATCTTAACAAAAAAAAAAAATCTGAGTAGACTCCATCTGAAACCATGCATTTGGCAGAAAAGATAAAAATCTCCTCTACTTCAGAGCGTGAGGAAAAAAATAGAGGTACTTTTTCCCCTCCATCATTCAGGCTTAGTGTTTTGCTGTCCTTTTTCTGTAATAGTTTTATCTGGAACGGTAAAATTTGGATTGTTGTTGACGTGACGAATTGCAGTTAGCATCCACTTGTCATCTTCAAGCAGGACAGATGAAACCTTTCAAATAACCATGGGCTTATTATTTCATAGGATTGTGGAATCAGTAAGGTTGCAAAATCACAGAATCACAGAATGGCCAGGGTTGGAAGGAATGAATCTCCAACCCTCCTGCTGCATGCAGGGCCACCCACCTTCCTATTTAATACTAGACCAAAAAAAAATCACTAAGATCACCAAGCCCAACCATCACCCCATCCCCACCGTGCTCGCTGACTGTGTCCCTCAAAATCTAATTATTCCTTGGCCATTCTGGGCTGATTTTATTATACCTTTGGCTGTTCTACAAGGTAATTGTGATCCCTCTGTTCCCAGGAAAGCCATCCAGGCTGCTGTGAGGAGCAAGGAGTGTGCAGCTGTGCTGAGCACACACTGCCTGGAGGAGGCGGCGATGTGTGACCGCGTGGCCGTGCTGGTGGCGGGGCAGCTGCGGTGAGCACCGGTGTAGCAACATGCAACATTGGTTTTCAGTCTTTATTTACGTTTATTTATTAAGACAATGGTCTCCCAGGTGTGTAATGGACACTGTTTTCCAAGGACATGGCCTTTATAGCAGCGTAGTGTAATTAATATAATGAATAAGAGGATGTATGTCTGCTGCTTCTATTCTGTGATTGCTTTATTTGCTGCTGTGGATGGTTTGAGTGCTGTTTTTCCTCCTCTGCAGGTACATCGGTTCCCCTGAGGAGATGAGAAGGAAGTTTGGCACGAGTTACATCCTGGAAGTCCAACCAAAGGACGTGGGGCAAAGCGATGCTCTCCATAGTGAAATTGTGCACCTCTTCCCTGGCGCAGCTCGGCAAAAAAGGTCCTGGACACATGCTGGGATGCACTGACCCTGCTCAGTCATTCAGCCAGGAATGCAGGAATCCTACAAGCACACCTATACCTTGGTGCTCTCACCATGATGATGTGTTCACTTTCTATTACTTTTTCAGGATTTCTTCTTTGCTCATCTACAAGATACCAAAGGAAGATGTACTACCTCTATCCCAGGCTTTCTCCAAGCTAGAAGCAGGTACAAGGAAATAAATAAATCAGTATGAAGATTGCTTTCAAATTGTTTGTATGGATTTGTATTTAAGGATGCCTTCTCCATTGATCTGCAGCTAAACAGAATTTCAGGCTTGACGAGTACAGCTTGTCTTTGCACACTTTGCAACAGGTATGTTGGTTTAGAATGGAAATGTCAGGAATTTGTTTCTGAGAAATGATGTTCTATGGATGCAAAGCTATCTCAAAAAAGTTCAAATCCTGCTGTTAATTTTGAAATAACTTCCAGAACTGACAAACTGATACTGATCTCTTAGAGAAAAGTGTTGATTGAATTGCTTGTGTGTGAGAAAGCTGTGTGTACAGGAAATGTATTTCACAATATAGTACAGAAGATGACATATGCCTTGTTGGGGAAAAAAAATATATAGGCCAGAAGTAGAAACTGTGTGTACAGAAAACAAAGCCATCCCATGAGCAGCGTTAGTACCATCAGTCCCAGGCCATAATGGGGCTGTTTCCCCTGTGGTGCCTTGCAGGTGTTCATGGACTTCAATGGGGACCTGGAGGAGCCCGACCTGGAGGCAGCAGCTGAAGAGGCTGCAGAGCAGAGGTTGCTCCAGCCCTGAGCCCTGGGAGACATGGAGGAATATTTTCAGCATCTTCAGTCAGTGTTACCGACGTGTTGGGTTGGGGACTGGGACTCACGTACCTGCATCGCATCACGTGGAGCTCAGCGGACGCCCTGCAAAGAAAAGAAGAGAGAATTATTATTGTAATAAATAAAGCCTTTATCCTTTAGCAACTGGTGCCTGCCATCCATCTGTATGAGATGACTGAATCAACTGTGCTGAGCCATAATTTTGCAGGGCTGTATTGCTGATCTCAAGGCAGACCAGGGGTTTCCTTGAAGGAACTCCTCTGCAAGCTCAGGGAGAGCTCTTAAGCCTCCCCAGCTCATGGACACCAGAAGTTCGGCTTGCTTGGGGATAAGTCCTGTCTTCCTGGCTGGTGTCACACAGCCAACAAGTGTGGAGATTTCCATGGAGTTTTTGACCCCAAATCAGTGTCTCAGCCACCCTGATCCATTTGTGGTCTCTACTGCACAGAGAGAGGAAAGGATGCCAGGGTTTGAGTGCTTCTGCAAGCTCCTGGTGCTTGGGATGACACAGACATTGCACAGTCTGACACTGTGTTGATGGGGAGATGGGGTGGGCACCTGGCTAGCACCCACCTCTGCTGCTCAGAGAAGAGAAGGGGTAGGCAGCAGCAGATGTCTTCTCTTGATCACCTGCTTGCCAAGGCTGGCTCTAATGAGAAGATCATAATAACAGAAGTTTCCTCAGGCCATGGGGTGTTTCTCCATATTACCAATTGCTCTGTTTCCCTGCTCCACCAGCCTTTGGGACTGGAGATTTGGGTGATGAGGTAACATCATCATGAAGGACGCAGCTGTGAGACCCTCACCCATGCTGGAGCTCCCTGAGGCACTTGGATGCTGGATACAAGTGCAATGAAGTGGGTACAAGGGGCATGGATGAGGCAGGTGTGGATGATGCAGGTGAGTTATACAGATGCAGGTGAGTTACACAGGATGTAAATGACTGCACTTAGCCATGGGCTGCTCCTGGTGGGGCAGCTTCCCAGTTGGGCCACTCCACACCACTCCCAAGAGCTGCTTTCCATATGGATCTCCATCCACCTCAGGAGTTGAGTAAGGACATCCTTGCTTGAGAGTTGAGACCCTCTTCTCTTCATTTCCCCACTCTTTGCAAGGTGATGTAGTGGCATACTCTGCGTCCTCCTTTACAGCACCTCGAAGCATATCTGGGTCTGGCTGTAAAACGTGTGAACGTCTTTTAAACGCTAAAGCAGAGGGAACATCCCTGCCTCTGTCCCATCCCAGCTCCTGCATCCCACCGCCGCCGCGGGGCAGACGAGTTCCGCAGCTCAGCCCCAGGCAGGACAAAAGCAAAGCGTGCCCGCTGTCAGTCCCACTTGATTTAAACGTTTGCAAGAAGCTTTGTAATGCAAAGGGCTGTTCCCCATCCAGGTGGCAGCACTTCGCTGCTCTTCTTACACCGGGACTCGGTGCGTTGAGTTTGCAAAGAAAACCAATGTCAGGAAACGGCGACCTTCCCTCCTGCAACAGTGTGCTGGAGTAGCTCAGTTGAATTCTCTGTGCTGAGAAGCGTAAGGATTTGCCAGATAAAGGGTGAGTGTATGGCTTATTGTTGGGCTGAATTTTCCTCTCTTGGCTGAGATTCAAGAATTTCCTGAGTAACCTTTTTTCCTTTTTCTTTTTTTTTCTTTTTTTTTTTTTCTTCAATGAAATCTGCTTGGACAACTCCACAACAATACGCTCTGTTTGCTTTTTATAACGTAAATAAATCTGAAGCTCTGCCAAAGAGGAAGGGGGGGAAGTGAGGGATGGCGTGAGGAGTGCCTTTTGGCAGCAATGTCCACGTGAAGGAGTGGTTGTGTGAAGAGAAGGGCTCCGAGCAGAGCTGCAACCACTGGCCAGAATCTCCCCGGCAGCCCCACATCCAGAGGTGCATTGCACAGAGTGCAAGAGCTTTGGATCCCTGTCAAACCCTCCCATTAAGGTAAGGCTCAAGCATTCTTCTTAAAACAAGAGAAAAACAGTACTTCAGAGAGATGAAAGCACTCAGTAATTAAGCATAAATAATGTTGGGTGAACACGGATGCAGGAAGATGGGTCAATGGGTGCCTTGGAACAGGCTCAGTTAAGATTGGGATTAAATTTATTGGCATTGTAAGCATAACAGAGGCATTTTAACCTCTAATATAGAGCAAAAGGAGTTCTGTTTGCAGCAGAGGTGTATTTCTGGCAGTTCCTTTTTCTAGGAGAACATGGTACGATTCAGCTACGTTTAATATTTTAGGGCATCCAACACACATAGGAGCAAAGTAAGCTAAAGATGGAACTAAAAAAAAGAAAATTGTCTTTCACTCCTAGAAATTACCACTGAGATTGACTGGGACCAGGCAGAGCTGGGGGTGGTGGGGAGGGGACACTTGGGACATCTGCAGTGGGACCCAGTGGCCAGCTCTTCATCCCACTGCAATCTCCTGGGTGTGAAGCTGGAACTCTGGCTGTGTGTCAGCTTGTCCAAGTGTAGGTTGGCTTCACCATCTCAAGGAAGCCTAGAGATCATCATAACAAGCTAAATTCATATTTTATATGCTTTGTGAGGGATTCTGCGGCGCAAGAATCCATTCAGAGTGTGATGGTCAAATAGCAGATTCCTGTCCCTACTGTCCCAAAGTGTCCCACAGAGGTAACACAGTTTGTTGCAGCTGTTTGAGTGTTTGATGCCATTGTGTCACCCCAGCAGAGCGTGGTCAATCCTTGGTCTGGGCACATCCCTGAAGTTGGCTGATATCAAACATCCATGTGGGTGAAGTGGAGGATAATAAGAGAAGGGGTAAAGTGAATATAAATATTTGAAGAAGATAAGCTGCGCCTTGACTGTCAGCACTGTGAGGCATCATTCCCCAGAGTGTATTAGGAGCTTTGGAAGGGTTTGTTTTCTATGTGCTCTTAAAGCTGCACCTGAGAATTCACGTACAGAAGACCAAGAAACCATGGTCTGGAAGTGTACTTCAGCAGCAGAGCAGTTTGGCTGTGGGAGTTTGGTTTCCCTTTCACATTTGGGTGCTTTGTCCTTTCACTCACTTCAGTTACCCATGACTATTTTCCTGATGGTTAACACGGACACATCTGTTCTGCAGCGCTACTCTGACAACGCACGCTACGCCTTGCTTCTTTAAGGCTCCATACGAGTGTTGGTTGTCATCCAGGAAACAATCACTGTTTTGCTTTGACCACAGATTTGAGGATGTTGCGAGATCTTATGGGGTAACCCACCACTGCACACTCATGGTTGCTTTTTCTCTGCTGCTCCCCATGAGGAGCTCCATGAAAGCACTTCCAAGAATTTGTTCTCTCGTAGCTCCCAGTTGCCTTCAGTTGATTCTGTTTTCTGCCTGAGCTCAGCTTGTACCGTGGCCAAGAATTTCTCAACACTTGGTGTGAAGCCTAAAGCACGCTGAAATCACATGCGACTAGAATCTGTTGATTTTACTCAACTATATTTTTGTCACTTCTTGGATATTCAGGCCACCCAAACCAATTAGGTCATGCAGTCTGATTTCCCTTTTGTATTACTGAGTTAACTCCTCCCAGCCTTACCATGCTAAAGCATGGAAGAAATCTGGATTATAATTGGTGTCATAGTGCTGAGCTGCAAGGATGAGGAACGCACTGATGACAACAGTGGCTTCTGGTGCAGGACAGAGTCAAGGACCAAATGGCTTCGGCTCCTTCTCAGGGAAAGGAAAGAGTGTTTCTGGCAGACAAGCAAATGCTGTGCAAATAAAAACAGTCACTGATGTTTTAGCATTGTTGTATCTGAAAGCAATTAATTTATTCTATTTTTCTAGGTAGAAAGATGAGGAGACGTCAGAGAAATTTGAGTGTGTTCCAGCAAACTAAAATTCTCTTGTGGAAAAATGTGCTTATCAAATGGAGGATGAAAATGCAGAGTTTTCAGGTAGGTTAAAAAAAAACAAACCGTGAAGTGGCCCCTGAAGATGGTTTAATCTCTGCCTTCCTCTATACCTCCACCTCTTTCTGCAGTGTTAAAGTCCATTTCAAATGCTCAGTTTGTACCACGGCCAAGAGTTGCTCCAACACTTGGTGTGAAGCCTACAGCACGTTAATACTACACGTATCTATTTTGGGGATTTTGGCTGATCATGTTGTCGTCGTCTCTTGGATATTCGGGCCACCCAAGCCAATCGGGACCGACTGGGAATGAACACATTTACCTTTTCATCTGGTATATTTGTCTTTTGGATGACATGGAAGAGCACAGATGGGTTCTCCAGGCAGAGTAAATTTCTGAGGAGATTTACACAACACAACAACCTCATTAGTCAGTCACTGACCAAGAAACCAATGCAACTCAGTGCCTTGTTTACCCTGATCCAACAGAGATGCTCCTCTACTGCTCTAGCATTAAATCCCCTTTTCTACTCCCCTCACCCAGGAGTGGATGCTGTCCCTGCTCTTCCTGCCACTGATGTTCATAGTGAGCAACTTCATGATGTACATCCCCTACCCTGAGGTGCCACACAGCCACCTGGGGCAGCTGGATGATCCTGCCTACAATGCCACCGGAGTCACCATTGCTTTCACACCCGTCACTGCAGCCACCAGGCACATCATGAACACAGTGGCCTCAAAGTCTGTGATGACAGGTATGATTTATCTTTTAAATGCTTGTCTTTGGTGTTATTCAACCTTTCATACACATGTTTGTGTTTAAGTTGAGACAGGTTGAGATTGGGCTGCAGGATCTTAGAGAGGATCTTATTATCTTTTCCAACCTTTAGGATTCTATTATTCTATAATTTTGCACCTTAAAACTCTACCTGGCCTGATGTTCACAGTGTAGTGAATAATACCACTGACTCACATCCATTCACTTATTTCCAGGTACACTTCTCAGTGTGAAGTATTTAGGGGGGCCACAGATGCACCCTGTCCAGTAATGACAACTTGAGAGGGCAGGTGCAACCTCAGCAAAGCAAGATCTACACCCACAGCTTGTGTTTTGCATTGCAACAGAAACTCATTGCAATATTTCGTCTTTTAAATCCCAGGGATAAAACTGGAGGCACTGGACACCGAGAGGGCCTTGGAGGAAGCCTGGATTTTGAATAAAGAGATTATAGGAGTTGTATTTAAAAACAACTTCTCCTATCACCTCCGGTTTT